TGGTAGCATCATCCTACCTATTCGCCTTCCTCAGTGCCATCATCTGCACATGGTGCGTGTTTGGAGGTTCCTTCTGTGGTCCCAACCGCATTGACCACTTCTTCTGTGACAAAGTTCCTGTAGTAAAGCTAGTGTGCTCCGACACCCACAGAAGCGAGATGCTCATCTTTGCCTTCGTCACCATCAACGTAGTGGGCACGAGCGTGGTCATTTTACTCTCCTACATCTCTATCATCCGCACCGTGCTGAGGATGTGCTCAGCACAGAGCAGGGCCAGAGCCTTCCGCACCTGTGCCTCCCATTTGATGGCTGTTTCTATATTCTTTGGGACAGGATTCTTCATGTACCTACAACCTTCTTCTAGCCATAGGAGCCTGGATAAAGTGGCCTCCATCTTTTACACCGTGGTCACCCCAATGCTCAACCCCTTCATCTACACCCTGAGAAACAAGGAGGTGAAGGGGGCTCTGCTGAAGTGTGGGACGAGGTTGTTCAACCACATTCATTTTAAGGGGTATTTTATACTCATTTGACATGACCTTTTACCTAAATGGTGAGAGAAATGGAATCCCAGCTCGAGATCAGCACCCACATCCCATGTCCATGCCCAGCTCATGCTCAAGCACACTGGGAAACACCAAACAGTGGATTTCATATAAGAATTAAGCCTGTGGGAAGTTTCTGTTGATGAAAGACAATCCTGAACACAGAATCAATGGTAATTGAGAGCTATCCGGGTCTCAAAGAAGCCAAAACACACTGATGGGGGAAAAATTCTTTAGCTGATGTGAGTAGGAATTAACTTCTATTTGGAAAGTATATTTATAATGAACACACTGTTTGTGTGCTCTGAAAAACAACAGTATTAAGAGAACACATTGTCTTACATGTGGGGGGAATGTGGCTCCTACCTGCAGTCAGTGAAGAAGCCAGAACTGATGTCATTAAATGCTTGATGTCATTAAGAACTTGGCAGGACAGAGACCTTTGATATCGGACAGCTTCCTTCAAAACCTTCACCACACCTTGTTTTCTTCCATTTTGTTGGATATTTTGGCTTAGACTATACATATAGAATCATAGAGCCACAGAAAGCCCAGGCTGGACCTCAAAATATCATCTGATCCGAGCTTTGGTGGAAACAGGAGTCTAGATGAGCAGTGTCATGTGGAGGGCTCATCACTGTCTGATGAATTACCCCACTCTGGTGTCCTTATTTCCTCTTGGGTTTAAGAAAGTTTCCAAAGCAGAGACAACTGAAATGGTCAAAGGTTTACCCACACTTGGTGCTACCTTTCCAAGGGAAGTCTTGAATGCCATAGTCCTGTGTGTGGTGGATCCAACTCAGTGAACTGGCAATAGGAACCTCAGTCTAACGTGCAGGGGAGGCACAATTGTGAATTCCAGCAATATAAGAAACAGGCTTGAGGTTCTGGAAATACATTTTATACTGAGAGCTTCATTGCATGATTCTGCTTCAATCTTTGCAGAGAAGGGATCTACAAAAAGCAGAAAGCCCTGGCTGTAGACACAAACTTCTCACATCAAATACATGACAGAGGTCCTCTCATTAAGTGCTTCTGATACCTCAAAAAGAAAGCACCTTTTGGCAGGAAGAGCTGGACATGGGCCTCTTTACCCTGTTCTGCAGGTGCTGTTAGACCAGCCTGAATATTTTGGAGGAGAATATTGGATTCTCTGGAGATGATTCAAAACCTGGCCTACATTGAAATGAGCATTAAAGACGATATTATTCAACAGCCTTATCTACCTAACAATTAGTTAACAAATCTCATCTTTAGATACCATATCTAGCTTTATCCATAGATAATAGAGAAGATAGAGATCTCAGAGCAGTGCCTAATTAGGTGAGGTTAATGCCAGTTTTTCTCTTAAAAGTACTTCATTCATTACTTTGATTTCATTTCCTGCACTTGTACAGAAAAAAATCATTGCCCTTTAATGATAGGGGAGAAAGACCCTGAAAATGAGAAGAGGCAGGTTTTAAGCCATCAACTGGGAGATGCTGATGGCTGTGGAAGAGCATTTCATTTTCACAGGGCTAGCAAGGAGCCCAGAACTAATGTTCAGTGCCCATCGCATAAGACAAAAAAGGGGGGGGGGGGGGGGGGGAAATAAATGCAATAAAATACAGCAGATAAATCAGATTGATGGAGTTGTGGCACAAGCCAGTCATAGGAAGAAAGACAGACTTAAAAATGGCTCCAAACCAGATCTTTAAGGTGAAGGAATAGGGTGGGGAAACAAAAGTCCTTGGTGTCAACTGAAGCTCTGGAGACCTTTGTCACAAAACCAGCAGCTAAACATCGTGCCAAAGCTACTTCCACCTAAGTCCCTCAGGGCGTTCTTCACCTCCCTGTTCCTGAGGCTGTAGATCAGGGGGTTCAGCATGGGCACCACCAGCGAGTAGAACACAGCAAAGACCTTATCCGTGCTCAGGCTGCTGCCAGACCCTGGTCGGAAGTTCAGGGCGAGGATGGACCCGTGGAAGATGGTGACTCCAGCCAGGTGAGAGGTGCACGTGGAGAAGGCTTTGTACCGGCCCCGAGCAGAGCTGATCCTTGAGACAGCAGCGAGGATGAAGGCGTAGGAGACCAGGACGGCCAAGATGGTCACCATCTCCACCAGCCCACCAAGGACAAATATCAGACACCTATTGACACGTGTGTCAGAGCAGGAGAGGGCCAGAACAGGCGTGATTTCACAGTAGAAGTGGTTGACCTTGGCTGGCTGGCATAAAGGCAGGCTGAAGGCGAACTCTGTGTGCACCCAGGAGTGCAGCAGGCCAAGCACATAGGAACTGGCCACCAGCAGCATGCAGAGCCGGTGGGACATGATGGACGAGTACAGCAAGGGCTTGCAGATGGCCATGTAGCGGTCGTACGCCATCGCAGCCAGGAGGAAGCACTCGGTGGTGCCAAAGGCTATGAAGAAGTAAAGCTGGGTTGCGCAGCCGATGACAGAGATTGTTTGCTTCTCCATCAGAAGGTTCATTAACGTCCTCGGTGCCACCACCGATGAGTAGCAAGCATCGAGGAGAGATAAGTTGCTAAGGAAAAAGTACATGGGGGACTGCAGCTGAGCGCTGCTCCTGATGAGCACAACCATGCCCAGGTTCCCCACCAGTGTGATGAAGTAAATGAGGAGGAACAGGATGAACAAAGGCGCTTGCAGTTGCGGGTTGTCCGTCAGTCCCACAAGAGTCAGCTCTGTCACTTGCTTGCTTTGATTTTCCTCAGCCATCTTCTCCTAAAGCACTGTAAGTTGTATTCATAGAGCCATAAGAAACAGTTAATGGAGACACTCAGCACCTAAAAAGCCCATCAATCCCCAGGGTCTGGATGGCAAACCCTCTCCTTATCAGAGATCTGCTTCATTTGCATCAACATTCATCAAAAACCAGTTTAGCAAAGCAATGAATGTTTTATTCTGGTAGCAGTCACTCTGCCAAGTGTTCCCTATTCCATTCATTCTAATACACATCTCCCTGATGTATACTCATGGTATATATCACATTCCAGGGTAACCCTCCCAAGTTCTAACAAAGAAAGTGTAAAAGAAGGGGTTCAGTGCTTCCTGTAATGAATTAGTGACATCAATAATGAAAATCTCACACTAGACCATGTCTTTAGAGGTGACATGGTCTAGTGTGAGATGTCCCTGCCCAAGCCTGAGAGGTTGGAACTAGCTGAACTTCAGGTGCTTTCCAGGAGAGCGGTCTAGCAATGACTTCCGCCAGTTCCCTCAGCACCTGCGGGTGCATCCCATCTGGACCCATGGATTTATGGATGTCCAGATTGCTCAACTGGTCTCTAACCCATTCCTCATCAACTAAGGCAAACCGCTCCGTTGACCTGACCTCATCTAAGGTCTCAGGGGTACGGGGCTCTTCTAAGGCAAAGGACTGCCTGCAGCAGAGTAGACAGAGACAAAGAAGGCATTCAGTAACTCTGCCATCTCCGTATCTTCTGTCACCAGGGCACCCATCCCGTTCATCAGTGGGCCGACATTGCCTCTGGTGTTAGTTTTGTCTGCCATGTACTTGAAAAAGCTCTTTTTGCTGTCCTTGACCCTTCTCACCAGATTTAATTCTGGGA